AAAAAAGAACATTGGCACAAACCTAGCCTGTATGTATTTTTTTGTATGTCATCGAGAGTATTTAAGTGATTTTCAATCAGGAAAAAAATGTGCGATTAAAATGCGATTAATCGCGATTAAAAAATTTTATCGATTGACAGCACTAATTAAAATACAACAAATATTCCACTTCTCATTTATGTTGTTTCATTCCATAACCAGAAAGCCAAAGCTGATGTCAGACACCTTCAGGTGGGCGTCTTCGTCTTTCTGCTAATGTTGGTCTCTTACAGGGGACATTTTGAACAATCTATGCAGAACAACTGGTCTACAACACATCAGGTGGACTACTGATGTCTTTCAGGGGACTATTCTGCCCCTCTATTCTGATTTGTTTTGTTGAAGCTTTTCCTGGTTCCTTCCTGATGAGGTGAGATGAGTTCAGATGAGCTCTGATCCCTTTCTTTTGATGACTTTGAGCCATACCTTCTCATGCTGAAGGATGGCTAAGATGTTCCTCCAAGAGTGTCTCCAGGCACCTTGGTCTGCCTGTAAAGCCGTCTCTAATGCAGGGAGGAAAAAGGTCTTGTAGGTAGTTACCAAGAGTCTGAATGAAGGGAGCTGAGAGAAGGACAGATCGTATGTTATTTGGCCCTTTCACAAACAATAGTGTATACAATAATTTAATGTAGCTTAAAAAACTTTAGATTGAGATTTGAAATTTGTCACAAACCACTGAATTATTACATAATTCCAAACTTACCCAGTACATTTACTTCCTTACTGTTAATCTTCATCAGTTTTACACCTGCAGAAGTGCAAACACACACTTCTCCTCAGGAGAGTAGGGAGGGAGGACTGTGTGTGTCGGTGGACTGCAGCGCTGTGAACAGAGAAGACACTGAAGCTGCAAGCTTTGCGATAGCTTTTTCTGTGGCTTCCATGAGACATAATGTGGGTAGAAGAAGAAAATTGGCTTTCCATCTGATTTTAAGTGTTAAATATGGAAGTTAGGTCCACCTGAAAGCGGCTGCGACTTGGAAGTTCCCTTAGGGTTCTTTTCCTGGGAGCAGGTTATTTACTACTCTTAACTCAAACTGGGTAAAACCATATAAAAAGGACCATAAAAAAGGAGTAAAAAAGTAACAGAGTTTATTCCAGGTCAGGACAGGACATAGAAATTGCTTGGAGTTGGCACAGCTGTGGGCTCAAAAAATGTCAGCGAGCGTCCGGTAAAGACTGAGCCCCGAACAAGGTCATCTCTTCCTTCTTATACCCCATGAGTTCATGTCTTGCATCAGGTGGATCCTTAGCTGTCTGCATCAGAAACTGACATGCCATCCATGCCCTGACCTTCATGCATCGTGCCTCTATGCCCCAGGATTACAGATAGCTCTCCTCTATCGGTTTGGCTCCATGATGTGTCTTTGTCCTGTGCATCTTTAAAAGACAAGAAGGCTGTCCTATTTAGATGACATCCATAAACACAGTGACATCCACCATGTGAAGGAAGGCCTTCTACTCCATCTAATCTGGCTAACAGAGTAACAATGCACATGATGTGTAAAGAATAAACCTAACAAGAATGAACGATGTTTCCAAGGTGATGCAAAATCAAAACCCACAACCAAAAGCAGTATAATAATCAGCAAACTTACAGGCTTCTGTTCAACCAACAAGTTCAGCAGTTTAAGCTGAGAAGGTTTTTGGCAATGAACCAGAAACAGGAGAGAACAGCAAACCCAACCTGGTCAACACCAGTTTCAGGGATGCAAGAAGCAGAACCATCAACAAAGATCAACAATGCTGGATTTTCCAGCTTTGTTAGATTATTTTGTCATACATCTGACTAAAGTTCAGACATAAAGTGGTTGGTCTTTTCAGCCTAAGGTCGGAGATTAAAACAAAACATAAAGAATATTCTGTTCAAATTCCTTTATCCATCGTTTCTCCTCTATCTTGACAGAAAGAAATACTGTCACTAAAATGTAACATGTTAATAAAAAGTTAATAATGCTGTTTTTCTTAATCTAAGCAACAACACTATTAATGTTTTCATCTGTATCCAGTTACACATTAGTCCTGGCTTGGATGTTTGTTTGCAAGGCAAGGCAACTTTATTTGTATACAGTAGAACAGTTCAGTGCAAAGACAATTATTTATAGGAAATAAACAATAAAATAGAAGAAAAATAAAAGCATGATACATAGAAAAGTTGGACCACAAACTTATCCTAATGATACTCCAGTTAACAGTTTAACTTCAATGGGCAAATACATTTATAAACAAATGTTTTTTTTGTAACTTAAATTAACACAGACCTTCAGCTCATTTACAGTCTACTAGAAGTTTATTTTACTGTAGAGAAGTGGAGCATGGGAACTAAATGCTGCTTCTTCCGGCAGAATATGTTCAATTTTATTATTCTGCCGCCTGAAGTTTGGATTACACACATGAAAAACACTAACATCTACTTCCAGCACCGCAAACAGTGAAGAGGCAACCGGGCCAGAGGCTGCTGATGAATGAGATTCCAAGTGACAGCCCACCATCGATGTACGGGGGTCTGAGCGGATCCGACAGAGAAATAATATTTGAAGGCAGGATTGTAATCTTGATGAACCAACTGCACAGATGAAGTTTTCAGGTGAATTTTCTCAATTAAATACATATTAAAACTACTTGTTACTCACTGATCACAGCAAATATAGCTGCTATTGTTACAGGCAAAGAAAGAATAGGGTAGCTTTTTAAGCAAAGAAGTTTGCAAAGTCATTCATGGTCATAGAGATAAGAGGGTTTGTTAACCTTTCGGCTGTGCCTGTGGTTAAAAAGGCACAAGCATTGATAATGTGTTGTTGATAATATCAGAGAAGAAAGATTTTGCTTGTTTTAGATGTAAATTATATTATATCTTAGAAGTCTCTCTTTATAGATTTCATAGTGAACCTGCATTTAGGAAGGGTGGAACAACAAAAACATTACTTTAAAGAACAATAGGAAAAATATTAATAAGTCCACCGTACAAAACAATACTAGTATGTGTACATACTTTTATATCTTAAAGATGCTTATTCTAATAATGTTGCCCATAAAGCATTCTTTTTATTTAATAGAGGAAAGACAGGCTGTAAATGTATAATATCAAGTATGAAAATTCACCAATGTTAAACTTTTCGTTTTGCAGTTTCTTTTGGATCAGTTGAGTGCAATTACTAATCATAAGCATCAAAAGCAAGAAGCTTGAGCTTAAAAACAATGTTGATCCCTAGTTTGTCTTCTGATGTTGTAACTAAAGTACAACAATGCAGTCAAATCTAGCAGAGCAGGCAGCCTACAGGGCAGAGCCATTATCCAGAGCTGTTCATGATTGTATCTCAGAATAAACAGTTTCTTCTGTTGCTGCAGGGCTCTTCTTGTCTGTGAAAGGAGAAAATTTGTGTGAAACAATGTATGTAAATTATATAGATATATAAATTATATGAATGATAAATCAAAAAGCAAGACTCTAAACTCTAAGGTCATACTTACTAGAGCAAGCCCATATACACAACTTGTACCATATAATGATCACATAAGTAGAAAACCCATTTGTAATATAAATAAATCAAGCTAAATGGAGAACTATAAAAGGTAGTTCTAGTAACAATACTGTATTCAATAAATTCCATGCCTACAATTATTCCAATAAATACTGTACTAGTGTTGCACTGATACCGATACCAGTATTGCACAGGGCCCCGATCCAGCACTAAAATGATGGTATGGGTATCGGCAAGTACCAACAAATAGGGGATTGATAACATTTTGAGAGCCAAAAGTTTATTCAAGTATTGTCACCCATTCCAGGTAATAAAATGTTCAACTGCATTAACTTTGTATTAGTCTTTTTCCTGCCTCACAAAGGTAGGCAGCAGCTTGACAAAGCCATGAGGGCAATTATTTTAAATCCAAGTAGTATGCAGTTCTTCATATAAACACACATCAATTTCAAACGATGGTATTGGTATGGCATCAGTATCGTCCTATACTGCACAGCCAGGTATCGGGCCAAAAAATGGCATCGGCGCAACAGTAATAAATACACTGGACATTGGAAAAAAAGGTGAATGCAGACTCAACATTTCTTTTTCTTAGCTTTATTCTTGTGGTTGATTTCAGCATACAATGGAGTGGGTTCTGAAAAAGAAAATGGATTTAATCACACCAGATGTGGGATATAAAGAGTGACTAAACCACAAGTTGACCCATTAAAATTTTATAAATTTGACTCAAAGGATGCAATCTTTATGTAACAGTGCATTTGGACATTTTTGACAATTTTGTAGCATTCAGCCATAGTGCTGCCCTTTGTTGATTGTACAGTAATCAGAAAGTCCTAATTTGTGCGGAACAGTCTGGCATTTTTCCCTTCTCTCCCACCATCTGACAAAAGAAAGCAATGTCCAGCATTTGACCAGGTCAAATAATAATAATAACAGCAGTTTTCCTAAATGCGAAGAAATCTGGGCTTCTTCAATGCCCTATGTCCTAAATAACCTGCAGAAAATTCTCTTAAAACAAGGTAAAGGCTTTTAATACAAAAAGGAAACACAGTAACAACAAAGACTGTGGCACACTTCATAACTGGGTGAGGCAGTGAAAGGGGATTCTCAGAGAGATTTTTGGAGGTAACTGGATAATTTTGATATGAGGGGAGTACAATGTAAAGCAACACTATACAAGTGATTCACAAAAAAATGCACAGCTGAAAACCCCCCATCTGTCCATTATTTTCCCTCCAATCCTACACCGTAAAGCCTAACATTCAGTGTACTAAAAAAAATTAAGTTAACTGACCAGTTGTTTATACTAATTTCAAATAAGTATTGTGAACTGCCAGAAAAAATATCCTTGATCATTTAAGGTATTTAAGTTGAATCCATGAAAAGAAAGTTAAGTATATGAAGGTGATGGGACCTTGCTCAGATCAACATCAGATTAAGACGTGCAGTAATATGCAGGCTATTTGGCAATAGGTGTGGCCAAAACACAGTAGGTTGCAGTTACAATCTATGGCATCTGTTCAATGTTGGATAATAATATTGTCAGGTCTGAAGCTCACATGGTGCATTATAGATCATATTAACACTTAGTTGAAAAACATTGTTGTCCGTGAGTTTTGATAGGTAATGTAAGGTAAGACAGATTTTATGAGTTATTAGAGATTTTAAGTAATTCATAATTATTATCCCCTTTAAAAAAAAAACATTTTTCAATTTAAAGTAAACCAACTCTACAGCAGGAAACATAGCAGAGTGATGTTATATAATGTAGAATACTACAAGTACAAATCATAACTTCTTTACACCCCTTCAAGGTTGTTGTTGTCTTTGCCAGGTGAAATTTAATCAAAATTATTTGCAAGGACAATTTTGTGCAACATTCTGTTGCTCCATTTATATTTTTTAGCTCCTAAGTAAAGATAGATAAATGAAATTATTTTATATTGTTGTTCTGTATTTCAAAAACAGCCATTATATAGGTAGTATAGTGTATAGAACCAATATAGATAGATATGCAAAGACTGACTGTACCTGCAGCTCCTGGTTTCACTTCAGAGTAAATAACACCATCCTCTGGTTCACAACGTCTGTCTGTTAAAAATCAGATTATCAACAACACAAAATTATAAAGTCTGAAATCACTGAGTTATTTTCTTGTAGGAGGTTTGTTTAGAACTTACTCTTTTTTCTGAGTTTTTTTAAAGGAATAATAGAGTATGTGATTTCTGTGGGTTCCTCTGCAGCAGAAATGGTTTTAGAGCAATTTGATTATTTTTGTTGTTGTTTTGCTTTTTAACCACTTATTGAGACTGTTACTGATTTAGATAGATATACTTTACCAGATCCAGTGGCTCTAGGGTTGACTGATGCATAGAGGACATCATCTATAGTAGAAAGTTAAACATTACAGGGTTAATCATTTATTTTAATGGACCATAAAACAACAATATAACATTAAAGATAATAAAGATGATATTTTTTGTACTTTTCAGTATTTTCCTTTATCCAATGTGTACAGTACTATAACATCCATTGAGGTCATACATTTATGAAGCGAAGTCACTCAAAGCAAAAATATAACAAGAAGAAAATTTTTTGTATATTTAAATTGGATTCCATATTTATTTGTCTACAGTATATTGTGTTTCACTCTAGTTGTTTTGGTTGTTTTTCTAGATATTTGCATGTTAACTAAGTTAGTTTATTCAAAAAAGAGACAAAGAAATGTTTATATATTTTTGCATATTGAAAATACTTATTTAACTTCCTACCCTTCGTAGCAGAGCTATGGTCATTAGTCTCTGCTCCTGGATTTGTGGAGGACTTCTGATTGGTTCTATATGATCTGAAACACAAGATACAAATACAGTTTATATCAACCAATTACAGGGATTATATATACTTTATTTATGCTATTTATATTAATATAGATGAAAACGAGAGTGGGGTACAGACCTGGAAGAATTTGAATCTGAGAAAAAGACATTTGTTATTAATTTCTATCTTTAATATTTCAAATCATACTGAAGTTACAACTGCATTTATTTAAAGAATATTAAATGTACAATCTGACAGAATGTGATCTGACCTTTGAAACGTCTGCAGCGCCACAACATGAGTGGGAGAATAAGGAGAATGATTCCAAAAACTGGTCCAACAATCAGCAGCAAAAGAAATGAAGAGCTGACAGGACTGAATGCAGTTTCTGGAAATAAGGAAAATGGAAATGAAATGGGTTTGGGAAATATCTGCAACTCAGAGTAACAGGATCTCCCTCAGTCACAGGATGGATCACCAGGATAATACTATAATGATATGCATCTGTAAAACATTCAGATTATCAGGTTTTGGTCACCAATCAGGCGTGGCTGATCTTTAGGTTTAGCAAGATATATTTAGAGGGTAGCTTTTTATCCCTGGAAATTAAACCAAAGTAAGATTTTACTAACATTGCAAGAATCTCTATATCCACAGAAATTTGTTATTGTTCCTAATTTATGTTAATTACAAAAATGGAGCCTATAAAACAAGCATTTATTCACTTTTAATCATTTATCATTTAAATTTCTTTTGTTCACTAGATGTTTTCATTGATAATGAAGATGAGATGATTTCATGTTTGTAGTTAAAATGTGGGCGTTATTTTTAATGTTTAGGAGATTAAAGAAGAGGGACTGCTCTTATAAAATTTTGTTTTATTTTATTAATTTCTCCCAGACACTAATAAGCTTTGCGTGACACGTGGATAGCTAACTTTCTGAGAAATAAAATGCATTTGGTAAAAGTTAAATTAGATAATGTATTTGCCTCATTTGTCATACAGTAGGCATTTCTCTATAATGTTTTATAGATGTTCTGTTCACTATGTGTGTCTGTTGGTGTATGTCAGGGTTTTCAAAAACAAAAATATCACTCTGGTGATGCAGAGGTCTCAAAAACTCATGTGTCAGATATACGTTTGGTTTTAAAGTGTTAAGTTCCCCCAAAATTTAATTTAAACATCACTACTAATCCTTGTCTTTTAACTTTAGTGTTGAAGTCAGAGAACTTAGTGTAAATTTTCCTCTCATTTATTTCATATTGAGAACAGATAAAAACATTAATTATTACTATTTAGATTTACTGAAATATATGTTTCTATTTGCATTTGGATTCTCAAACATTTATCAAAAAATAAGATATGTTTAATGCTAAAAAATTTTATTGCATTTAACTGTAACTGATTGATTATTGAATTAATCATCAGCTAATTAAGTAATCAATCAATAATTAACTGGACTAAGACTCTAAAACATCTCAACTGCTGAAAGAACAACTCATTAGGGCCAGCAATGAGAGCCTAATGAACATAAAATAAAATAAGTTGCATTTCAGGTTAACATTTTTCTTTGTTATTATATATATATTTTCTCTTTGAAGAAATTCTCAGGTCAGATTTTTAGCCTCACCTGAATCTAATTCTGAAAATAAACTAATATTAAGAAATTTTGCAATTTAAGTATCTCAAACAAATTATTGAATTTCACAATAATTTATTTATTG